GTTGAAAGAATCAACCCAATTAACTCACTCACAATTGGTGATGCTAACCTTAATCGACCCAGTTATGAGTTTTGGATCTTCATTTCCATTAAGAAGTTGGCACTGACTGGAAATGATGACAGCCATTGAATTCCTATTATCATTGCTTTCCCAGGGTGGGAAGTTGATGATCAAGACCTCGAATATGGTGTGGTATAGAATACTTTCCAGAAAAGGAGTACAGAAAATATAGCAGGCGCTATTACAGAGGTGATCCCAACTGCTGCCGCCTTCTTCCCCGTTCTAAAAACCGTAGTCAAATCCATTTTCACTCCCATTAGAAACCAGAACATTGTGTAACCAAATGCCCCCATTGTACTTATTACGTTTTTCCTGTAATCTGCAGGGAAGAATATATCTCTGAATGTCTTATAGTTGCCCAGCATTAATGATAGAAAAGACAATGACAAACCCGCCTGGTAAATCCAAATGCAAATAAACTTAATTAGTCCCTAATTACCCAGAAACTAAAAATGTTTAGGTAGAAAGTAAGAAGAGGAATATATATAAATATATACATGGATGTATGTACTTACAGCAACCTGGGAGGTGAATTTGGTGGCTTTAATCCGCTTGAGGGATAAGAAAATTGTTTGCCATGTGGAGAAAAAGAGAATCATAAAAGAGAGTAAAAGAGGCAAAGAATAGTCCCAAATCTTCCTTCCATCGTCAAAATCCTTCATTCGCTCCCATACGCCAAATGAATTGACCGGAGGCGGGAGCTCGATGCATTCCATGTCGTTGCCGAGAATCTCCCTCGCCATTGTTCCAATAGAAAATAATGAAGATGATACAGAGACGTTGAATAAATAGGATATATAGCTAAAATGCAATGGTTGTTAGCTTCTTAATTTTATTAATTGAATTCCAGTAAACCTACAGACTGGAGATTAGTTATCAGTTATGTGTTTAAAATTTAGTCTTAAAAAACCAGTTTATGCATAAACCAACTCCATAAATAGATTAATCCAACTATTTAAGAGATGATTACTACATATTAGTTGGCCATAATAATTAGTTAAATACAAGCATGTAACTGTAGTCGTTGCTGGGATTCAATTGGGACACAGATTCAAGAATTATAAATATATCACTACCATGCATATATTTATTTAAATCATATAAATAAAAAATATTAATTTTAATTAAAAAATTATATATCTATATTGTAACGATTTCGAACTTGAAAAGAAATAAAATTATAAATTGAATGCGGAAGGAAAATAATAGAGTTAAGATTTACATTCATTACACAATAGTTTTAAATACTTAATAGGACTACAGAAATGTCATTTTTAAAAGAACATACGAAAATAAAAAAATAAACGAAAAGTAAACAACTGAGCATCATAAGATAATCTTCACTAGTTTTTGAAGGAGTCCGAGTGGTGAACTATTCACAACTCCTTTGTTGATCGTGATCTGGATCTGTCCTCTTGATCTGAAATAGTTAATGAAGGGGTGAGCTACACTAACTCAGTAAAAATATTACACTACTCACCGATACAAAAATTTGAAGGTTGGCAAAAATCATAAAAACAACCAATAGAACTCTTAATTTAAGTAAATTCATTTATCATAAGTAAAACTATTTATTGCATACTTACCGTTGCGAGATTTCCAAACCGATCTATAGAGACAATAATTCAAATAACATTCTAATATCATTTTCAAGTAAGCAAGAATAACAATTTTTCTTTTTTATTTGCTTACTAGTATCCATGGGGGTATATAGGGATGTCTCACTACGCGTGAACCATTATTCAACATTGTCAACTAACCGGCTGTCTCCATACCCTGTTTGATATGAGCGCCAAGAATATCATCCCTCAATACCCTGTCTGGTATGAGGGTCGTTCTTATACCCCGTCCAGTACGAGCGTCAAAAATATTAATCATCGACACCCCGTCCGGTATAAGTCGACGTTCACGGTAGGGTTCCCTATGTACTCGATCCATTCACCATCTCCCAAGATATCCAATAAGACTACCATTCACTCATTCACTTAACCAATCAAAGTTTTACAATTTAACCGTAAATCAACGCAAGACAAATAATACATGCATTAAGGAAACACAACTGAATCATTTTACCAATTCCAGTATGTTATCATACATTTAAAGCTATAAAATCAAATAATCGGTTAAATAGGACAAACAATAATAAGTAACCAGTTTTGACTCCATTATAACATGTAATTAATTCTTGAAACTTTTTAAATTACGCAAAATACCGTATTATTGACAATTAGACTTCAATTCCATAACATAGAATAAGGTGAGATATTCTTACCCGAATCGGTGTCCGAAACACTAAACTTTCAGCTGCACCTACTGGCAGTTCTCGGGTTTTCTGAATTTTTATGCTGAGGTTAAAATACGCTTCACGTACAAAAAATACTTCAAAAATCCAAAATCGGTGTTAAAAACCTTTTGGCCAATTTTGGAATTCTGGTACAGTGACACCGCCATGCTCCGGCGACGGCACTGCCGCATGCGATGGTGATTTGCCTGGGATTGGCTATTTTTGGCCGATTTGGTCTGATTTTATACCCATCCATGCGAGAAAATACGTTAGGAGGCATCAGTTGACAAAAAAAAAATCAAAGAACAAAAACTTACTAGCGGCGGGATTTTTTAGTACGCCGGCTTCGCCGACTCACATTTATGGCTGAGTTTTTTCTTCAGTCAACCTATAAAAAATAGAACGGTGAACGCAATGGTGAAAAAATCACATGAAATGAGAAATGAGAAATGAGAAGAGGCTAATCGGATGCGATTTTTAGTTTTTTTTTGCGGCGGTGCCGCTGGATTTTACTTGCGGTTTTCGGCTCATTCGCCATTTTTTTTTATCCGATTTGGCCATGGGGTTGTTTGAAATCAAATTCTGAGTGAATATGAGAATTTTTATCTTTTTTGATGGTCGGAAGTGGCTCCAGCACGGCGGCGAGTGACGGTCAGCTCATTTCTCCAGCGACTGGTTCTTTTTCTCCAGCCGGGGGCTGACGGTTAAGATTTGGGTTCGGTGTGAAGTGAGATATTTATACCCGTCTCCTTTAAATATGGACCGTTTATCGCATTTGATCTCGATGGTCTGATCGCGTTTAAAGATGAAATGAATCTAAATCGTTTATCACGATTTGATTTGAACTGTACGATCGCATTTAAAGAGAGAATGAATCTGGATTGTTCGTCGTATTTAATCGCGACTGTCCGATCGTGCCTGAGGAGGGAACAGATCCGGACTGTCCACGCGCGCGGGAACGCATCCGGACCGTTCGATCGCGGGCATGCGGATTGCTAGTATGACTTCCTGCGTGGTACCGAGTCAGCGTGCCTTACCACACGGCGCGTTCCGGTTCGTTCGAATTGCCGACTGGGCGGTCCTACGTGGCGTAATTTTCTTTAATTGCGTTTTGACTTTTAGTTTTTGATTTTTTTTTAAAAATACCCACTGAACTCAAAATTTTACCCATTTTTCCCAAAATTATTTTCAATTTCATCATCTACCTATTTTTTTCCCCTAAATTTACATTAAATAAAAATTTATAAATTTAAAAATTTTATTTTATATATTTATTATTATTTTATTTTATTTTTAAAATTAATTCCGGACTAAATTTTGGGCATAAGTATTACATATATATATATGTTGTAGAAATATATATAGTATATAAATAATAATTTACACAGATTATCTAAAAATTTCGATTGTGGTTTTACAAAGAATATTTAATAACATTTGCTAGTTATAATATACAAATAATCACAATTTCTTCTTAATTAAGAGTGTATGCATATATGCATATATTACCTTATTAATGTGGTTAAATCTAATTTTTTTTAACATAATAATTTATTGTAAAAATATTTAGTAGTATGTGATAAGTAAGTACAATAATAATATGAGAGTATTTTCTCATTATGGATATATTAAAATAACATGCAATATATCTATAATTCTCTATTAATAATAAGTACAAAATCGTTTTAAGTACACAACTCACAATTTTGTGAAAAAGAAAAAGAATTACGAATATGAATAAATAGCAAAGGTACCGTCAATAATGAAGTCACTACTTGCATCAAATTAAACCTTATATATTGACCAAAAATAGACTTCTTCACAAAGCCCAAATACAACACCAAGCATGTCATAAAGTTGGCTTATGGCACCAAGCTATACATGCTCAAGAGCAAATACAACATGAAGCAATTGTATGGCTCCATAGTGTAATATTTTCTGTAATATCTGAACCCAGAATTTGATCTGAAATTAATTTTAAAATTTAAATATATATAAAAATATAATTTTAAAATTAATAAAAATTAATTTAATATGAATTATGGAAAAAATAGGTTGAGAACGAAATTGAAAATAATTTTGGGAAAAAGAGATGAAATTTTGGGTTCGGAAGGTGTTTTTGAAAGAAAAATAAAAAACTAGGGGTCAAAACGTAACTAAAAAAATTACACCACATAGGACCACCCAGTCAGTAGTCCTGACGAATTGGAGCGCGCTGCGTGGTAAGGTATGCTGACTCAGTGTCATGTGGGAGGCTACGTTGGCGATCCACGTGCCTCACAATCAGACAGCCCGGAAGTGTTCCTGCGCGCGTAGACAGTCCGGATCTGTTCCCTCCTCAAGTGTGATTGAATGGTCGCGATTAAACACAATGAACGGTTTAGATTCGTTCCCTCTTTAAACGCGATTGTACGATCGAAATCAAATTACGTTGAACGATCTAGATTCATTTCTTCTTTAAACACGATCAGATGGTCAAGATCAAACGCGATAAATGATCCAGATTAATGCGAGACGTGTATAAATATCTCGCATCATACCAAACCCAAACCCTAGCCGCCAACCTCCCGTTGGAGAAGAAAAACCAGTCGTGGGAGAAGGGAGCCGACCGCCGCCCGCCATTGCGCTAGAGCCACATTCGACCGTCAAAAAAGTTAAAAATTCTCAAATCCACTCAGAATTTGATTCCGAGCACCCTCATGACCAATTCGGAGCAAAAAGAACGGCGGATGAGCCAAAAACTGTGGACAAAGTCCAACAGCACCGCAGGCGAAACCCGAAACTGCCTCCGATGAGCCCCTTTCCATTTTCCATTTTGTGCAATTTTTCTACCATTATGTTCACCGTTCTGTATTCTACAGGTTGACTGAAGAAAAATGCCCAGTCGCGAAGGTGAGCTGGTGGAACTGCCGCACCAAAAAATTATGCAGCCAGTAAGTTTCTGTTTTTTGATTTTTTCAGCCAACTGAGGCCTCCTAACATATTTTCTCGCAGGGATGGGTATAAAATCGGCCGAAAACGACCAGGCTGAGGCAAACTACCGCCATGCCAGAATTCTAAAATTGGCCAAAAAGAGTTTTTAACACCGATTTTGGATTTTTTGAGGTATTTTTAGGTACGTGAAACGTGTTTTAATCTCCACAGAAAAATTTAAAAAACCCGAGGACCACTAGTAGGTGCAGTAGAAAGTTTGGTATTTCAGACATTAATCGTGTAAGAATCATTCACCTTATTCTTTGTTATGGAATTGAAGCTTAATATCGGCAATATGGTATTTTGTATAATTTAGAAAACTTTGAGAATAAGAATAATTACAGATTACCAATGGAGCCGGAAATCGGTTGATCATTTATTTATTGTCCTGTTTAACTGATTGTTAAATTTACAGATTTAAATACATGATGATATACTAGAAAGGTTAAATGATTCAATTGT